TAGAATATGAGAAGTTTGCAATTACGTGGGCCAAATATATCGGATTAATTATCTGCCATTCTCCTCCGAGAATAAACTTGTCTCGTTACCCAAGTTCTAGTATTCTAATTATATCGCTATATGGCAGAAAAAAAAAACTGCCAAGAAAATTGACGTTAGATGTGCAAGTCTAAATGATAGCTTTCCACGTGGCTCTTTGTGTAATTTGCATGTTTGTTTTAGAATAACTGGTCTATTGTCCAAGATGTAAAGATTTCTTCTTTAAATTTCAATCAATTTGTTGAACGATCATGATTTTGGTGTAGCCTGATCCGCCATTCACTATATACCGTCTATATAATTACTTTTTAAAACGTACCATATCAAATTAACTAAAGGCGGTGCGACGGGGGATTTGTTTGCTCCATGTAAGCTTTATATCATTAACATAAATTTGTAAAATTAGCGGAGAGAGAGAGAAATGGGGTTTAACGTCCACACGACACAAACTAGGTCATTTCGGGACTAACATATGGTTTAATGTTATTTCAATAATTATCTTGCGCGTAGGGGTCTTTAGCAGTGGGAGAAAACCGGGGGACCAGGAGAAACCCCACGAGGTTGGACAGGCGACTGTACTCCTTATCACGTACAACCGGGGATTCGAAACCACGCCAGTTGACTCAATGACAGGCCTTATGATACAGCGCGCACGTGCTAACCATTCGGCCATCCCACCTCCCCTTAGTAAAATTAGCATTTTCTGTAAAATTATAATTGTTTCGATACGTATACACAGTGGTTTCCTTTTAAACATATTCAAATCAATTTGGTACTTTTTACATAAATATAGTTATACTAAAATTCGGATTCGGAATTTTGATAACACTTGTTAAAAGGGTGCAATGGATCAAATCGCTGAAGTGTACCCATCGAAAAATAAGCTTAAAATACTACCTAAAGCTGTATCATCTCGGAGCCACAATGGCACTGGCGCTCGCTCGGTAATTAGCAGGTCTCGCGTTCGCCCATGAAGTTCATTGTGTTTTTCCGGCGTGGTTTCCCCTTGTCAATGGTTTCAGGACGGAAGAGGAGGGTGGCAAGGAACAATGTGTGTAGTCGTTCAGAGGGGACTAAAAACCTAGGTCCTTGACAGCCAACAGCTGGAATTCTAAATAAGAGAAGGTCGTAGCGCCGTGGACCGGGCAAAAATTCCCACATAGCAGACTTGGTTCACTATAGTTAGTTGCGTTTGACCAAAACGGCAAGGAACGTTATAACTGTCAAATTGGACTTCAACGAGCAGACCTGGCCTGATACATTTTAAATCAAGATCGAAACGGGGCCACACTCAAAACAGGACGTTTAAGATTTCTAAGTAAAAATGAAATCAGCGGATTTTAGTCGATATATTTCTAAGTAATTCTTACTTAATTTAACGGATCTAAAATCAGATCCTCAATTTAAAAACAAAAAACGCAAAATAAACTTGTCTTATACAAGACACGTTTGCATGAGTAATAGCGGAATGGTTTAGTTATCCTTTTCTCAAGATTCAAAAATATTATCGTGAAACATAATATATGTTTACGTGATCAAAATAGAACTAATTGGATTCGATGTCTGTAATGATTTTGACAATTACAAACCCCAATCAATACGTAGATGTCATATTATACATGATTACCTTGTTCCTACACACATCACTCTGTAATTATTTAAAGAATTTGATCTCTATCATTAAATTACGTGAACACAGTGGCTTTTTGAAAACTACTTCGATGAAGATGAAGAACATCATTCGCCTGTAGCAATAAAGCTAACTAAAACAGTACTCTTTATATTAAATTGATAAGGATTATTTTTCTCCAGGAACATTACAAAAAAAACAAAAACAGATACTAATTACACCATTAATTGCATCTTTTGATACAATCATAACTTTAAGATATAAATACCGATCATCATTGCATTGTACATGAAATGACCATGGGACACAGTCATATACTTAGTAAAGAATTGGTGACTCTCACCCATATTCTTTGCTCCACTGGCGTATGTAGGATTTCGGAAAGTGTGTGGGTCGGGCACCAACTTTTTAAATATCTCTTAAATTGATACATAAAATGGGGAGTGTGATGGGGCATGTGTAACCATCTAAAAAATGCTCCAGCCATTTGAGTGCATCAATGCTTCTCCTTGTTCCCCTCTGCCAATAGAATACTTTTCTGAAGCTTTATTTTTAAATAGACAACCAAGTTATAAAAGTATATTTAAATGTTAGAGATGGAGAGAAATAGGGGTTTAACGTCCACTCGACACAAACTAGGTCATTTCGGGACTAACACATGGTTCCATTTTATTTCAATAATTCACTTGCGCGTAGGGGTCTTTAGCAGTGGGAGGAAACCGGAGGACCCGGAGAAAACCCACGAGGTTGGACAGGCGACCCTACTCCTTGTCACGTACAACCGGGGAATCGAAACCACGCCAGTTGACTCAATGAGAGATCGTATGATACAGCGCGCACGTGCTAACCATTCGGCCATCCACCCCCCCCCCCCCTATTTAAATGTTAGATATTAGATATCAGTAGAGATCTATAAGAAATAAAAATATTCAGACACAGCTAGCAACCTACTTTAGGTTCTCTAATTAGCCTAATTTACCGATTATTTACGAACAATTACTGGTCTGTCATTAATCAAACCTGAATGATGTAAACCACACATGCTATAAATATTAAAATCACACGTCTTTATATCGACTTTCGCGGTATTTTGTCGACAAATATATCCAATATTATACCGCTTATTGTCTATTGATGATTATAAATTACGTCTGGTCATAAGAGACAACGTAACGTAATTATCCAGCCTTTGGTGGTTTGTCTTATGAAGAAATAAACAATATTTATTATAAGTCAAGTCGTGGCAACAGCAATTATTCATTTTATATAGATAATTGAGATATATTGATCGGCCTGTCGTCTGCTAGAACCTTAATTAATTGAATATCTTTAATTGTGCTCTAGCAAACAGTCTCCACATAAATTGACCATCTTCCACATACTAATAAATACTCTGCAAAGATGCCATTTCAATTATTAGCATCATTAGCTCTCTGGTAAACTCATTAAGTTACAAAATTCGAATTTAGACAGTTTGGAAAATATTTTGATCTATGTGATATATCTGGCATGTTTGTTTTTATTATCAGTAGCCTATATATAAGCAATAAGCGCTTTAATATTTGCATCACGGTTTTCATGACTTTCAGATTAGCGGTACTTATATTCAGTGAATAGACAATAGAAGATTATTTCAAAAAGATGAAATTTAATAGCAAAATAAAGTAAGCCATGCATAATATCAGATATAACAGTAACAATAAACATATCTATATAGATCAAAGTATACTGCTTCTTTACATATTAATATCCTAGATTTACAAAAAAAGTCTATATCACATAACAAAAAATTTCAATCTTTTTTTCTTTTCTATCTTCAATGAAACTTGTAAGAAAAACAAAAACAGAGTCAGAATTTAATGTTTTAAGTATACAATTCATTTAACTATTTTATCTAATTATTCACAAAATGAGCTAACCTATTTAAAATAAAATAAAATTGAGAAGAAAATTTTTTACTATCCACAGGTTTGATAAGCCAAAAGATTTTTCTGCAAAAAGGACTGGAAGTGCTTTTAATTTCTGAATACAAAAAATAATATAGGAGGCAACTTAGGAAGTATAATCTAAAATTGTTCAAAAAACAGTAAGGTAGGCAGATCCAAAACCAAGGGACCTGAGACAGATATAGTGGGGGCAATATATGACAATCTTATAATGAATGTATATAAAAAGCTGACTTGACACAATTTTATCTACAATTTAATAATGCACGACATATACAAGTATATCTTTCTTCTAAACAACAGCATGAAGGAAAAATTTTCCTTCACATATAATGTACACATGTCCCACTTAATATTAAAACAAATTTTTGGCTCTCTTCCATCTGTTAACAGATTTCATCAAAGATTTTTTACTTCAAAAATATTTACCTACTCTTTATTTGATTCTTAATCCATATTGATCCTGATCATAAAATGCCACAGGCCCATTACAGTCAAACTTTTTTTTTGGATTTGATATAACAAGTACCAATATATTTTGATTTGAGATTTGATATAACAAGTATCAATATATTTTAATTATTGGATATAAAGCTTTATTAATAATAAAATAGGTATGTATACTGTGTAGACTAAGATACTACAGTTGTCAATAAATCTGATATAAATAAAAGATTTGAATAAAATAAAATCTTGAGATCACTACAAATGAAAACTATAAATTCTACGTTAATATACTTAGTCCAGTAGTTTGTTCAATATTTTTTAAAATGGGCAATCAAGTAGCTTTGCAAAGACCCCCAAAATTACTAGGTTTAGAAAAAGATATTTAGAACTACATGAACAGGGGTTGATAAAATCAGGCTGCACCAACATGTAGTCTTTTACTACTACTCACTACAACATCAGTTTTTTTTTTAAAGTCAATACAATACTGTACTGTTGATACGGCACCACCACTGTGTTGTATCATTTATCAGTAATTTGATCTACTACCTTCTTGTTGGTAGTGCTCATGAGTTTTATCTACTCCCAATTGGTAGCACTGATCAGATTTGATATTATTCACTACCTTCTAGTTGGTAGTGCTGATCAGTTTTAACTACTACCTTCCTGTTGATAGTACTCACTAGTTTTAACTACCATCATGTTGGTACTACTACTACCTTCCAATTGGTTGTGTTCATTAGTCTTATCTACTACCTTCATGTGGTAGTGCTCATCAGGTTTAACTACTACCATCCTGTTCATAGTGCTTATGAGGTTTATCTACTACCTTCCTGTTGTTAATGCTCATCAGTCTTATCTACTGCTTTCCTGTTTGTGTTCATCAGATTTAATACTACATGTACATTCCAGTTGGCTGTGTTCATTAGTCTTATCTACTACCTTCCTGTGGTTAGTGCTCATCTCACCAGTTTTATCTACCTTCCTGTTGGTAGTCCTCATTGGTTTTAACTACATTTCTGTTGGGGTAGTGCCCAACACCTTTATCTACCTTCCTGTTCCTATTATCATTCACTACCTTCAATTTGTAGTGCTCATCAGTTTTATCTATCTTTCTGTTAGAAGTGCTTATCAGTTTTAATATGATCTACTACTTTCCTGTTGGTAGTGGCAACTATCAGTGGATATCAATTTTCATATGGTCTACAGGTGGCAGTTATAAGCTTTGTCAATATGATCCACTAATTTGTAGTGCTAAACGGTACTGATCATTTGTTTTGATCCACTAGTTGGTAGTGTTAAACTATATTGATCATTAGTGTTTTTATTCACTTGATGGTACTGTTAAACGGTACTGATCATCTGTTTTGATCCACTAGTTCGTAGTTAGTACCGATAGTGCTAAATGGTAGTGATCAATATATTTGGTAATATGATCAACTAGTAAGTAGTGCTAAATGGTTGTATTAATCAGTTTTTTTAACAGATTTATTCCATTAACTTCCAACTGGCAGTTTAGTTACATACTACGGAGGCCCTATACTTTATTATTGATATTAATCATTGGTATTGTTTATCAGATCTGTTAATATGATCTATTCTAAACAGCAACAAAACTATAAAAGCCACAACCATTGTTTGACAAAGTATATAATAAAGGGATATTTAAACCATATTTTCAGAATACTATACTAACCGGATGGCAAAAGGTAACAAAAAATTTATAATCAAATGAATCAATTTTAATAAGCGTATGGAGAAAAGGGACTATGGAATATTATATTTAATGTATATGTACATTAACATAACTATCATAAACAAACAATAAGGCACAATGTACAAACAGTAAGTATACAGTATTAATGAAGCATAATTAAAGACATACAATTTAATGAATTTATAGTAAACAATGTGTTTGAAAGCGCAGGATAGATTATATTATAACTTATCACAACAGAATAGGTTTCGGAATGATAACAATATCACTAGCATTAAAATTTCTTCAAGTATACATCATCAAGATATCAAATATATGAATTCAATTTTATACACAGACTAAAAATATCTGGTACTGATGGTTTAGAGTAGATTAGACCATTATATGAGTAATCAAAATTAAGTAAATTGTGTTTTCAATTTAATATACACATACATAAGCTTGCACTTACAATTCTTAAAAGTTTTATTGAAATCAATTCCCACATCAATTCTAAATATTTGATTCTACAGTATATTAAGGTATAATGAAGTCCCAAGATCATAGAGATATAACATAATTATCACCTTTGTTAAAATATAATTACAGACATAAATTTTTTACAATAATTGCTTGGGTTATTCTCATCTTGAATCAAATGACATATAGTTTAAACATTAAGGTAAGCAATTCCATGTGGATGTTTAATATAATATAGCAATTTTTAAATAAAATTTAATATCATTTGTGTCATCATGTTAGATCTATATGCAATTAAGGTACATTCTCTGAAGAGGAGTTCATCTTACTACATTTATCACATGAAGTGAACTATTTAGAAAAACAGATTATGCAATTTGATATTAAATGGCCATTGAATTGAATTAGATAATATTAGATTGTGCAAAATCTGAGTTACATTCACCAATCTGCTAACAAGATATAGGTATACAGATTGTATATAATATTCACTTAGATGGCATAATTGTAAAGTAACCATTGCTTTTTCATAGTATCTTTCCATTTATTTGGCGAGTTCAATTCTTGATGTACCTTGATGTAATTATCGATATTTAATTTCCTGGAGACAAAATATGGCCTCTTTAAATTACAGTCTCTGAACATCATTTGAGGAATTTAGGAATGATGAATTGAAAATTTGTCAACATTCGGCATAGACTGCAGATGATTCGACTGAATCCAAGCAGGGAGATCATCTTCAGTTGATATTTTGATTTTCTTTTCTTAACTAAATTTTAAATAAGGAAAATTTGATATTTTCCAAAATATACAAATGATGCACAGAGACTTCAAATGAGATTCTTAATGAATATAAAATCTTTCTCATAAACTAAGCTTCATTTCTATCATCGTGGTACACATATTTTTGATAGAGACAACTAATAGAGACAATAAACTCTGGTAAATGATTTCAGTTGTATTACTTATATTACACCACAAGTTGTATATGGGTATAACTATACTTCGCTGTTATTTAATAACAATGTTTCAGTAAAACATTTCAATGTTCAACTAACTTTCTAATCATGCCAGTTACGTCAAGTTATTACGATAAACATTGTTTTGAAGATATCTAAACATACACCATTTAGGAACCACAAAAGTTGAATGAAATGTCCTTCTAAGAAGAACAAGACATTCAAATGGTACTCAGATCTTCTGCTCATTTCATTTATATTCCAACCCTTGTTACCTTTTGGACAATGAGTAATTTGCCATTTAACAATAATGTGCTGACTTCCAGAGTGGGGCAGGGTTATGATGTAGCAGTGATCTTACAGCAGAGTAATATGAAATGAAAATCACTTCCTATAAAAACCTGTCTTACTTATCAAACAGTACATATTTCAGGAAGAGTAGGACAGTAACATTAGGTTGAAGGTAGTGTGACCAGGGTCTGTTTTAGTACATGCATGTATGTACCTTGCTTTGGATTCAACTGTGACCTGTGGGTTAAACTACTCCAAAACTCTTATCATCTTGGCTTGTGTTTTAATTAAATTAACAGCATATCTAATGCATGATGTATTTTCAGGTAATGTCTCCCGGAAATAGGACACCATTTTCTACTAATAATCTGTACAGAAAGAGGTGGTTTCTCCTCAAATGGTCAGTCATTTTACCAGAAACTCTTTTACTGGAATCGAACCCTGAAATACAACAAATAAGTGTTTTACTACAGTATTTTAAGAAAGAAATTATCAGTTTCTTAAATATTTTAAAAATGTAACATGAATTTTAAACTGATTTAGAAAATATATTGTAAAGTATCAAATTGATGTTTTATATACCTAAACAACATATATTTATTTATCTGTTCTATTTGAATCAGAAATAGTTACAAAAATGTTGACTTCAATGCTGGTAATTCTGAAAGTATTGTTACATAGTACAGTATGTTATACAAAGTTACAGAAAGCAGACTAGTAAGATTTATTTGGCATGCACAGTTTTATGATTATGATAGAATACATAGATTATAATATACAATTTAACAGCATATTAGTTGGATGATTATATTTATCTATCCTGCATTCTGTATATATCTTCACCATATAAATACTTTGTTTTTATAACAATAATGTATTTAGATAATAAGCTGTATCAGTATACTAGTAATAAAAGAATCCCTCGTGAATATTAACAAATTAAAATCCAATATTTAAGCTGTAACTAAATAATATACTGTTAATAAGTCTTCCACGTTTACAATATACATTTAACTTTGTACATTAATACAATACATATCCAAGGACTGTAATAAATGAGCCAAATGTAGAATTTTATGTGAAGAATTCTATTCTGAAAAATGTGCACAGATGGTTTGATCACAGAAATTATTCAATATTAAATATATAGTTAAATCTACACCTACAAGATAAATAATGAGAAATAAACTAAAACATTTATACTATGCTGAAACAAACTAAAAAGCAACAACTACTCTATATATTATATTTTTGTAAAGGGTTGAAGATAACTATAAGTTGAAATAAACTTGATCATATCTAATAAAACAGACATTTCAGTTTTAATTTAATCATGATCAGTTTAATATTTCTTTCATACAATTGGAGATTTAAACCTAATTATTGTTAGAAATTGGAATGCCTCATATTTCCAAACAAATGTCTACTCGCTGACTGATTCTTTTTTTCTGACTGATGTGGAAATAAAAATAAACTCATTAAGTTGATGAAAGTAGGATCAATAAAATAGGGATGATGATGATGATAATACTACTACTATGTTAATGATGTATTTAGGTCACTAAGACATTAGTACAATTAACAGGGTATCATCTAACATCTATAATAATATCAACATTGGTCATATGTTTCAATTTATTCTTTAGTAGAGTTCTCCATTTTTTTTTTAAAAAAAGATGTCCAAACACATAAGGGCATTGACAGAACGTGGTTGGTGTCCTCAGATGGCATGTTCAAAATTCATTTTGTTGGCTGACGTTTTTCCAATTTCAATTTACACCTAATTAAGCAAGTGAATGTGCTAAGTACGCATCCGTCAGTGGTCTTGTTAATTAAGGGAGGTGTGAGAGAGCCTATAGTTATATCTTGTCACCATGGTTATTCAGCCAGCATTGATTTTTAGCAAAATGATTGGATATTCCTAGGCAATTAGAGGCGCTTAATTGTCTCTCCACGACTAAGCTTAATTTTCATAAGTGTATAAAAGCCTTTAGCTGTAGAGAAAGGCGGGTAATAAAGAATTTAGATACCACCTAAGCAGACTAAATAGAGCATTGATTAGGTCAAATATTAAACATGGTTCTCTACAAACAGTTTTTAGTCCTATTTCTGCTAAAGAGAAGTAGCAATGTTTTTGTAATTAGCATGACCAAATCTTGATGGATGTAAGGATTAATAGGAAATGGAATGGATAAGATGGACTTTGTTTCAACCCATAGAAGATAATTGAGTGTGACACAATATGTTTGTCAAACATTAGTATTAGTACTAACTGGTTAAAAAAATAACCTACAGAAAATCCCAAACTGTCATCTAGGAATTAGAATACATGTACGTTTTTGTTAATTTGTCTTGCATTATAATATTGTAAGTTATAACATATAATCTATATAGCCTAATACTGACAGGTGATTAATATTATTTTGTCTGAGTATTAAGAGATGAGGATGATGTGCCCCACATTACAATGAATAGTTCAGCTGACTAGTATGGCCTGCAAAGTTTAATGAGAATTTCAAAAAGTGCACCAAAATAATGGTTCAAAGAAACTATGACATCAATCAAAACGTGATGACCATCAAGAAATAAATGAAATGAGCTTTAACACCTTACTTTCCTGCACCAACAGGGATTATGAAGAAGGGCAAATGCCATCCAGTGGTGCAATGAGGAAAATTTTGTCTGACAGCAGCGATTTTGCCAAATCTTCTTTGAATTGTATGTCCACACCATTGTGTACATAGAACCTTGGCATTTTTTGTTTCCATCTGAAGGACTAGACTCTTTTCCATGACAGGTTCTCTGTCCTGAAAACCAGGCTCGAAAATCATAGTTGAGCAACAGCGACTAAACTATATAACTGTTGATAACTCAGAACTGTAACAAACAAGCCAAAAGTGAGGCTGATGTCCTCTGCCTCAATCTCCAAATAAATAGGACGACACTCATTAATTACTTTTACATTGATCTTTTCATAAAGCACTCTGCTTAACCCAAGCAGAAAATGTTCATTATCAAACTTAGTCATGGTACTGATGTGATGAAACTACACACCAAGTTACTCAATTCAAATCAAGAGTTATTGTGTTCTAAAGCATCAACAAATCAAATTACTTATGTCTTCTTAGTCTGAACAGAAAATGGTCATCATCAAACTTAGTCAATATATTGATGTAATGAAACTATACATCACATTTCATCTACCTCACTGAATTAGCATCATCGTTTTACAAAGTTTTGACCAAACAAATCGCTTATCTCTGCTCAACGTAATCAGAAAATGCTTGTCAGCGAACTCGATCAAGACATTAACCTAATGAACATCAACAACAAGTTTGAACATTCTACCCCAATTAAAAGCAGAGTTATTCTTTCCCAAACACATTTTATTAGTCCCCAGCTTTTTCAAAAGGCAAGGTACAATAAATGAATAAACATTATCAAAAAAAAAAAATCTACCAGAACTTCAATTCTTATTGAATAACCCAATCATCATATAGGCTCTTTTTAGAACTAGTTTTAAAGATACGTCCACAGCTGCTAAATCATCCGAGTGGTTGACAAGGGTTGTCGCATATTTATTCTTTTGTAGGTAATTGAGGGTATTTACAAGACAATTTCATACAGATCAGATTATAATTTTCGTCATTTAAGGGTTCACAAGGTTCTACAAACTGACACACGGGACTTAATTCTGGAAGTAATTTACAGAAATGGTTGAAAGTCAACAGGCTTTTTTGTTTTACTACTTTAAATAATGCATATTTATTTCACAAGGGTCAACAAAGTAAAACAAGGGCCATAACACTAGAAATAATTGGCGGAAATTACTGAAATCCAATAGGATTCTTCATTTCATTAATTTAAATGACTCATATAAATGTCATACAGATTGGATGATAACTTTCGTCATTCGAGCATTCACAAGGTTCAACAAAGTGAAACAAGGGCCATAACTCTAGAAATAATTATTGGAAATTTCTGAAATTGAATAGGATTCTTCGTTTCACTAATTCAAATAATGCACCTAAATTTCATACAGATCGGAAGATAACATTCGTCACTCATGCAAGCGTCCACAAGGTTCAAAGTTAAACATGGGTGATAATTCTAGAAGTAATTATTGGAAATTGCTGAAATTCAATAGGTTTCTTTGTTTCGATAATTTATATGATGTATAAAAATGCCATACAGATCGGAAGGTGCAACAAAGTGAAACAAGGACCATAACTTAACGGAAATTGCTGAAATTCAATAGGATTTTTCGACTCACCAATTCAAATGATGTATGTATATAAATTTCATACAGATCAGATGATAACTTTCATCATTCGAGTGTTCATAAGGTTCAACAAAGTGAAACAAGGGCCATAAATCCAGAAGAAATTAACAGAAATTATGAAAATTAAATAGGATTCTTAATCTCACTGATGTAAACAACATATATCAATTTCAAAACAATCAGATCATAAATGTAGTCTGTAGGGTGTTCACAAGAAATTGTGGACGGGGCGGCGGCAATATACAACCACATTTCCATGTGAGCGTATAAAAACGTTACTGTGAACTCGGTGCTGCGCTACACATAAAATCTGGACAATTTCAAATTGTGAGGTAAGAATTAAATTTTGAAAAGTTTTACAGGCATTTAACGAACAGGCATTACATGAAAAATAACCTAAGTTAATATAAGCATTCTCATTAATAATAATAATGGGAGACATGCAAATTAAAATATACAAATAAACTATTTACACATATTTTTACCTCTATAACACTAGTTGTAATGGAGACAAACCTGGGAAAATAAATAATAAGTTTACTAAATACAATTACTCATATTAGTTAAATATGCCTAGCCAAAACTGTGCAGCTGAAAGACTGAACTAGTGTGCATCTTATATTATAGGTATGCAATTTTTTATTTCCATTAAAACCATCATTGGCAAGTTCAAATGTCATCATTTAAATGTTTCACACTTGGACCGCCCAAACTACTGCTCCCTGCAGTGCCTGTTGAGAACTACTAAAAAAAATTTCAGGAAGCATGGCTAATCAATATTTACCTGTAGCAAGTGTTAAAGCGTGAAGCAAAGCACCAAAAGAAAAGATAGGTTGCCACGCAATAAAAAATATGCCCACAGCAGTTAAATCATCCACAAGGGTTGTCACATATTTGTTCTTTTGTAGAAAATGGAAGCATTTACAAGACACTGTGATATTGTTTCATACAGATCGGATGATAACTTTTGTTGAAATAACATCTACAAGTTTTTACAATGTGAAACAAGGGCCACAAGTAATTAACTGAAATTTAAAAAATTCAATAGCGTTCTTCACTTGACTAATTTAAATAATGCATATAAATTTCATACAGATCAGATGATAACTTGTGTTGACAAGCCTGGCGCACACTACGCGACGACACTGCCGATTTTGGT